TAGTTTGAACCTTAAACATGAATTAAGATCGAAAAAAGTAAAGCCATTCTGTATCATGCAGACATTTCCAAAAGATATTTCTTGGTTTGCCACTTGAAAATCGTGTTTAACTTTTTGCATGAATTAAAGCAAAGGATTAGTGACGTCACTGGATGGCATTAACGGCTGGTCGATTCAGACGATATCGAGAGAGTAATAACCACTCGAAGTAATCGGATGAAAGTCAGGCTATCGGTAAAGGTTGTTATTGACTTTTCACCGCAGCAATTAGTCGAGCGCTTATATACAGCACGTTTACTATCAAAAAGCAAGAAGTATCGAGTCTGTATAACAAGTACTACTGATCAGGTTGTTTGTGTGCCTTTTGGGTGATGGTCTTGGACATAGCTGCAAAAGTATTCAAGGAGACTCTCATGGGAGAAAACAGCTGTGGCGAAAAGGCACGTTCTTCAAGCCCTCTTAGTTTGAAGTGTGACTATTGTAATAGGATGGGCCATTTTGTATATAACTTGCTCCCTTAGAAAGTCTGAGCAACACAAAACGTCCTCAAAACCTGACAGTTGGAACGAACATGTTAAAGCACTTGTGTCTAAAGCTGGCAGGCGGGTCGGTCTGTTAGCACGTGTTTGCCGTTATATCACAACACATAGTGCTAATGCCATTTTTCAATCTATGATTAGACCGCTTTTAGAGTACTTCGCTGGGGTCTGGGGGTGCTGTGGGGAAGTAAATAATGGAATTCTAGAAACTCTGCAGAAGCGCGTTGGGAGAATTGTAATTAAAACACCTAGTGGTGACACTGGGATGAAGGTTTTGAAATGGCCAAGTCTTAGGTCCAGACGCGATGAGCACATCCTAAAACTTGTAAGGAAATGTATACATGACCTGCGCCCTTAGTATATTAAGAACTACTTTTTAACAAGAACATTTGTGCCCGTTTAACCCGCCAGAGTAGTCTCTTGCATCTGCCTGCCAGAAGAACAGAAGTGGCCAAGAGATCCTTTTATTACCATGGAAGTATGGTTTTTAATAGTTATTGTAAATGTCCTTAATCTTAAAAGATCTTGTTATTAGTTCATTTGTTATATTACCTTGTACATATTTCATTATTATTATTATTATTATTATTGTTATTATTATTTACAGTCTAGTTAGTGAAGTCAGGGTTCCTATTGATAGCAGGTATGCTTTGTAAGCTCCCTGAGTGGACTACCCTGGGTAATTACTTTTGATTTTAAATAAAGGCGTCTAATACCGGTGTTCAACGGATGACTTCAGCTCGGGTAAATGACAGGCGGTGATGATAGGGAGACGTTTACGTGGCTTTTGTTGTGGTTGAGCAATAACACTAGCCTTCACAGGGGTAGCAGACCTATCTGAAGTTATGGAGCATGTAAGTTGGACGACGAGTCACACCACCTTATATCTGTTGTATTAGTTGGTTAAGGTGTTCAACCCTGGCGGTGCCACATCTTCTGTGAGAATTAATAGTCGTGGTACACTGACAGGGTGTAGATCACTACGCCTTTCCAACCAGTGGGCAGGACTTCCATCAATGGCTGATATTCTCATTGAGAAAAATCTTAGATTGCTGGGTCACGTGCATAGGATGGATAATAACAGACTACCGAAGAAGCTGTTATACTTTCAACTCAATCTGGCAATGCGTAATCAGTAGAGGCCTAGATTAAGGTTCAAATATGTTGCTAAGAGAAACATGAATTGGAGAGACATCGATCTCAACCGATGGCAGGACAGGGCCAACGACAGACCTATCTGAAGGAGATTTTTTAAACTGTGCTGAGCCCTAGAACAGTCTTAGTCGAAACGACTGACTGTGATGATTATGGATGGAATGTTTGTTTAAATAAAAACTGTTGTGTGTTAAGGAAAGAGATAATATTCGTCAACGCTAAAGCATTTATTAGCAGCTCTCACAGGACAGCACGTGAGGCAGTCAAGGAGATACAAGGTATTAAGGAATGTAGCGCGTTAGTGTATTTTATGGGTGAGAGAAAACTGGTCTAAACATAGCTTAATACGTTATGAGAGGGTTTTTGTTTTGAGAATTGCGGATTGGGAAAGGTTTATTGGAGTCATAATAGTAGTTTAGATTGCATTAGTAGACAAATAATGGAGCAGTAAAGGCGCTGGGGCGCTGATCAATCATTTTACCATACCTTAATACAACTGAGCATGAATATGAATGTTGATATACACCTAATTAACAGGTTTAACGTGGGTTGTCAATCGGTTTCACGTGCGATTACGTTAACTTCTGATAATGAATATTGATTTGGCGTGGAAATCGTTGATTCTTGCTCAGTTTTCAGCATAGCCACGCAGAGGCGAACGGCCCCCCTTCCCTCCCAGAACATCGCGTGGGTCGTATTACTAACTACCCCTAAGCCAAGCTGTCCAACATCTACCTGCGAAGAGCCTGGGTTGCAATGTGACTCGTCGGACGCCTGACACAAAAATCTGTCGCGGTAGAAGGTCCAAAAGAGTTTTTAAATCGCTCTGCCTTAACGTTAAGAACACGTATTTCTCTGAGTCACTCATCTCGATATGGTAAAACTGCTGTTTGACTACTCGCTACTCGATATGAATTGACCAAAAACCATGTTTTAGAATTCAACCTCAAACAATACGAGGCTTTTGGGAATGAGCATCTTTAGAGAATTCAATTAAAGATTTTTCAAGCATATTGCTTTTGGAAAGCTCACACGTGAAATAATAAGCATGCTATTTACCTATTCATCTGGGGTATGTTCACCTGGTGTCGTACCAGGTGAATATATCGCATACCCCATTGTTCCAGTTAAACAACCCTTACGTAATTGTTCTTCAACAGTTTTTTCATTGTTTTAGGTTTTGTCCTCATTCTTGTGAAACCCAATAGACGAGTTTTAATTTTGGTGCAGCGAGGTGTTTTTAAAAAGGAAAATTGGTCATAGAATCGAACCGCGGCAAACGAAAGTAAATATATAGCAGCAAAAAAGAACATGATTGCGAATAAATGCCAAGAGGATGAGGAATAAATCTTTGAAAGTAACCTGAGATCAGGTCCAATTTGAGCGGTTCTCATACATTCTCTACAACGGCGCCGGAATGTAATTTTCAAAGCGAAACGAAAGTAGAGCCTGATCTCAGGTTACTTTGAAAGGAATATCGATGACATATTTAGGAATTGTTGGATGAGGCTTACCATGATCTGTTGAATTATGCAGATCGAGGAGCCGGGGTGTGGTTAGCGTATTTATTATACACTTAAAGTAACTCTTAGTTTAAAACGTGCTTACTTCCTCTGGTGTCTTGAGTACATTACAATTTTTCTGTTCTTTTGTAAATTTGGGGTACAAAGGATGTTAGGTCTAGCAGGGATATTCTTTGCCAGCTGGACGCAAACAGCTTAGCTAACGCAACCGGACGTTCTCGATTAAGGCTTCTCGGTTTCCGTCACTTTTTTTTAGCGATTACCCGCCATCATATGCCCCACCTAGCCTTATCCTACGACAAAGCTCTAGCTTCGTTAGACCTAGAATCATCACTAGTGGTTCATCATCAGCGCCTGTGTCAGTCCCTTTTCGATGAATATCTTAGAGGACAGAGATCACCGTCTCGATCACATACTGCATACTCGACTCGCATACCCGTCTCGCATAGTTACACCCTCAGGCATGCCAGGAATTATCTTATTAATTCCCAATGCCTCCGGGTAAACTCACTGGAATAGCCATCAGCTTTTTTAAATAAGACTTTGTTCGTAGTTTATGTATATGTATTCTTTAGAATTAACTTCTCTAAACTCGATTTTAATCTATGCGTTTTCTATAATTTACTAGTTTTTATATTTTATATGTTTATACGTAATTTAACCTCTGGCTGCGATGACTATGCCGATAAAGTATCCATCTATCTCCATCTGTCCATAGCTAGTGGATAAATATTCAAGCTTTATTCTTCTTAACGAACTTTAATATCACGGTTTAAGCCCAAGGGACGTTCAGCCAACCCTCTTGTATAGTAGGAGGGGTTTGAATTTCGCCGTACGCTGGAGCACAGGCGAACCAAACTTTATACATGCTTTTTTGGCTTTGAAGGGAAATTCACTACAATACAGAAATAAACTTTGATCATTCCAAGCAGGGGCTTGCATGAGTGTCGATTTCCTGTGTGAGTTGGGCTAGTTGTTGTGTATATACGTGTATCTAGAATCTAGTTAAGAAACGACAGGGTCTTGAAATGCATCGCTTACTTTTCAGTTTCATGTGGGTCAGTAATGAACAATACCCTGAAAAGTCCTACATACTCAGACGGCTTCTATGCTGGCAACATGAACTGCATCTACAATCTTTCGATTCCAGATGGTAAGGAGATGAGAGTGAAGTTTCAAAGTTTTGACCTGGCGTCAGATTCAGAATGCAGGTAAGAATAAATACGTTTAGCTTTTCTTATCTGGAGTTTAATATTGAGTTTGCCGGTCGAAAACTTAAAAGCATAGAAAAACGTTTACAAATAGGTTCTTGTAAAATAATTTAGTCGCACCGACTCTCACTTTGATCTTTTCGTTTAAGTCAGCTACTGACCCTTGATGCCTGATTGGTGGATATTTTAACAATTACGAGAATCGGTATGATAAACTGTTATTTTGGCATCTAGCGAGGAGAATGTGTGAGGGTATATTTGTTACTGTACAGCAACTTGTATTGAAAGAGATTTTCTCGTAGGATCGATTATTTGAAAATAACGAATGGTATCAAAGAAGCTCGATACTGCGGTGACCAGCACAGTGTAAGAGACCTTCTTGTATCAGGAAACTACGTTGTATTAACATTCCACTCGGACTGGCTGCTCGAGAACAAGAAAGGATTTGAAATACTCTTCGTTGAAGAAAAAGGTAACAGCTTTATATTTAGGGCCATTTATACGAGGAAAAAGAAGACGCGCTTAAAGTAAGACGCGAACTTTACCGTTTAAACGGCACATTTTGTCTGAAATAAGATAAGACGCGTCTTATCTAAGGATAGCCCTTAACACCTGTTCTTAGATAAGACGCTCTTGGCAGAGTCGCGTCTCATCTCAGACGAAATTAAATGTGCCGTTTATATGGAGAAGTTCGCGTCTTATTGAGGACGATGAGGACGAGTCTTATGTAAGGCGGACGCTTCTTATTTTCCCTCTTATAAATGGCCCTAATTGCTCCACCTCCACCTCCACTTCCTCCACCGCCTCATTCCGGCCGGGGAATGGATAACGAGACACACCCGCCCAGAACTTTTTTTTAACCCTGTACAAATTCCACCAGATCCGAGGATCTTTTTTTTTTTTTTAAGAATAATAGCACAGTGGAACAATCTCCCTTCATCAATTTTCTACTGGATACCTCTTTGCGGGCGACAAGAGGAACCCGCAGACTATTCTTGGTTGGCAGCCCTTTATAAACTGTATAACAAGTGTTCTGAAATATTCATGAAATGAAATGTAATATATTCAGTTTACGTAAGTTGTATAAGAACACGAGGTGTTAAGAATATTTAAATAAATCATTCAGTCCTCAACTGTCGAAGTACGAACATGGTACTCCGAGCCCTTTCACAGGAAAGTTAGTATAATAATGTCGGACGCTGTGAATAACGGTAAATAATGTCGGACGGTGGAGAAACAGAAACGGTTGAAAAATTTCTACTATTGGAGAAGAAAAAAACATCGGTAAAGCGCAGAGTGACTCAAGCAATTAAGGAAATCGATGAAGCAGTTCAATGCAACAAGAGACAGTCGCTAGAACTCTGGGTGTCGAATTTAGAAAGCCTTGATGAAGATCAGAGCTTAAGTCTTTACAAGGCCATATAAAAGAGTACATAAGTGACGAGGATTACGAAACTTTGATATATTGGCGGGGAATTAAACTAATGAATTTGGGTTTTCCCCAGTGTAAAACGAATTCAGGCGAAAAAGACAAGGTTTCGACGGTAAAAAGCCAAACTGAAACGCACTTTGGAGAAACATATCGCGCGACATAACAGGACAGAAAAAATCGTTTGCGAAGTGAGACGGAATGAAAATTCTGAAAATTGCCCTTTTATGTGGATTTTCCCTCGTATTTTGAAGCTACTAGTCCAAATTGCTTCAATGTTTTCTGTAAAATACTTTAGCAGTCAACAAACTATTGTTGAAGAGGAAATACAGGAAGTGGAACTGAGATTTTGTCGTGCGCAATTTACAGGCACGGTCATGCACCTGGCACGGTCCGTCACACAATAGGAGAAAAGACAGGGTATTTTTATGGAAGGGTATCCAGAAAAATATCATTCCTTACTATTTCTCCGCATTCTCAATTAATCCACAACCACGACGCATTAGTCTACGCTCCCATAGGAGCGTCTTTTTAATCCATGTTTCATCACTGCTTGTTTTATTAATCCATGTTTTATCACTCCACGTTTTATTAATCCATGTTTTATCAATCCAGTCCATGTTTTACCAATCCAGTCCAGTCCATGTTTTATCACATGCCATACAATCGGCGCGTAAGGCAGATGTAGAGCGTTTTGTCAACAACAAGAGACCACCGATTGGAAACAATCTCTTCATTACGGCGCTTCGGGATTCGAAACAAATTCTGCAAATATAAAGTTACCAAAAATTCCCCTACCGAAATTTACGGGTCAATCGTCGATTGAGTGGGTCAGTTTTTGGGACCAATTTACAGCAGCAGCAAATGAAAATCAATCGCTTCATGATGTTCAGAAGCTCGCGTATTTAAAATCATTTCTTTTGGGTCCAGCTGCCGAATCAATACAAGGATATACGTTAACTGAAGATTACTATTCGTTGGTTGTGGAATTTCTAAAGAAAAGATTCGGCAAGAAGCGTCTTATAATTCAAGCCCATATGGACGCGATAATCGATCTGTCGAAATTTGACACTATGGAAAATAACGAAGTGCGGAGTTTCCTAGACACCTTGAAGTCCAATTTGCGATCAGTAGTCCCTCTCGGAGTTCAAACTGAACTTCTCGCACCTCTTCTAATGCCATTGCTTATGAGGAAAATGCCGAAAAAGGTAATTGAAAAAATTCAAGTTCAAGATCAAAGATGTAGAGGAATTTTCTCTTAAAACGTATCAGGAGTTATAATAATAATAATGATAAAACTTTAATAGTAACAACTTCAACGGGCTTTTCAGAAACTATTTACAAATGAATGTGAATAAGCTTAATAAAAGAGTGATACAGTAAAACATCCTCCATGTGTTAAGTGTTAAAGAAATAACCTACTCAATACGTTATGATAAAATGACAAAAGTTTCACACATGTCCAATATACACAAACAGATACGATTCGTCAAACCGATGGTCCATTGGTACCAATTCGTACGATTGGTACCAATAGAAAAGGTTGTCAGTCCAAATAGTTCCATTGGTGAACAAAAACAGGTCGAAATACAAACTTGTCATGAGAATTCTTCGTTCTATCAGCCATCTATATAAAACAAGTTCGCTTTTATTCCAAGTAGAAACGCGCTAATAGTTGATATGGATATTCCCCGTTCTATTAAAATTAATAGGGCACAACAAGTCAATGCCATACGACGAGCTGCTCACTACGGCTAGCATGACATCCTTATATTGTAGGCGCTTACACCAGGCGTTAATACTTCTTTTTAAATGCTTAAATGGTACGGGACCTACTTATATTGGAAGCCTTTTTAGATACAGGCATACACCGTATAGGCTAAGAGGCGAGGGCTTGAATTTGGAATTACCTAATTTTAATCTTAAATTTAGTAAGAATTCTTTCACTTATTCATTAACTAAGTTATGGAGCAGTTTGCCTTCTCAAGTGCGTCTTTCAAGTGATGCTAATTACTTCAGAAGTAAATTGCACGGTTGTAGGTTTTTAGAACGTGTCTTATAGTGCACGATTGTAGCTTTTAACTGTTTCTAGAACGAGTATTATAGTTTTCCTAGTCACGTTTTTAGTATGTGGCTTTTTGGTCGGTTTTAGCTTTTTATATTTTATGTTTTTATTACCAAGTTTTTTATATGTATATATTTATTGAGTTGTTTTTTTTAAATTGAATAATATTATATAGCTGTAATTATTATAGATTTTATTTATTCACGTTCGTATTTTGAACGACTTTTTTAGCTCTTTGACGTAACGTGTTAAAATAAATGATTGATTGATTGATTGATTCTATAAGCCAACCACGCAAAACAATTTCACTCTCACACAAAGTAGAAACGCGCCAAAAGTTACAAAGCGAGGTCGAACTAGCGCTAATAGTAATTGCCAACAGTTTTAATATAGCGAGGTCGAAATACACACATGCCATGTGTATTCTTCGTTCTATAAGCCATTTATGCAAAAAAAATTCGCTTTTACACCAAGTAAAAATGCGCTATACACAAACAGATACGATGCGTCAAACCGATGGTCCATTGGTACCAATGGTAGGATTGGTACCAATACAAAAGGATGTCATTCCAATGGTTCTGTTAGTTAATATGCATCTCATTAAGGGAACTTAGATTATTTTCGCCTGTGACCTAGCTGGGTACAGGGCAATTCCGATGGTCCGTTGGTATCAATGGTACGATTTGTACCTATAGAAAATGATTTTGCATAGATGGTTTATATAACAAAGAATACACATGTTTGTATTTCGACCTCACTATATTACTAGTTATAGCTATCGCTAAGTGCCAATCAAGCAAAGATTTTACCTACTATATAAATGCGCGCTGTTGAATTTGTGTAGAAATGTTGTGAAATACAGTAATTAATGAAAAAATAGATTGAACTTAATTCGATTGCATTGAAAATAGTGCAAACTTAAAGCAAGGGGCACACATACACCAACCCACGGCATGCGCACAGCCATGTCACGCGGCCAGTGGCAGCGTGGCAAAGCCGTTGCCGTTGAAGCCTGAACGGGGAAAACTCGCGTTCCAAAAGCCCCTTACTGCCGAGGTGACTGCAACCCACGGCCAGGCCATCACCTTATGCATGTGCGCGGCCATATCACGAAGGCAGTGGAAGGATGGACAGCTGTTTCGCCCTTACTTGGGCTCATCAGCAAGGCAGAGCCGCTGGTCAGTGCCCGGGAAAAACCCGTGTGTGCTTTTTTCGTATTTTGGCGGTCCAAGGGGCGTGGTGTGATGCCCCAAGGCCATGAAAACAAAGGGAACAAAATGATCTGACAAAAAGAAAAACAAAACAACAACAAAAAAAAACTAGGGTAACCTACAGGGTAAAAAGAACGCCAAAATGGAAGGGGGCACCTCCATACGGAGTCAGCCCGCCAACTTCGCCAGGGAATCGAACCCCGCCTCCCGACTAGTTGAAATACTACTTAACGACCATATACAGTATAAAAGACAAAAAGACAAAAAGGAAAGAACACACACACTCGAGCCACACTCACTCAGGCCTATCTGAAGAAACGAAACCATGGTAAAACCAACAAGGGCAACCGAGGGGAGCAGTGAGAAGGGAGACACGCTCACTCAAGCAAAGTCAACTCAGAGCCCAAGAAAACCGTAGTACAGCCAACGAAGGCACCCAGGGGGAGCAAAGAGAGGGAAGACACACACACTCAAGCAAAAAAAAAAAACAGAGCCAAGAGGACCACAGTACAGCCAACAAAGGCGACCGAGGGAGACACACTCGAACAACACTAAGAAAGACAGAAATGAAAAGACTCACCAACGACCTTACAGATACGGCCATTGCCTCCCCGTTGTCGTGGCAAAAATCCGCGCCCCCTCCGAGACCGAAAACGTTTAATAATTAAGCAGAGGTAAATAGAAGGACAGGCGACCCTTGATGCTATCGATAAGACCCTGTACGGCACTTGGAGGTTTGGACCGAAAACGATAGTCATTACTTTGACACCAGACAAAAAACTTAAGTAAGGACAGAAGATAACAGAACACACGAGGGACACACAACAGCTCATCACTAATGAAACCGAAAAGAACATGACGCACGGTAATAGCTGGTGCCAGAGGAGAGGACAGAAAGAATAGTGACTGAATCCAATCCAGACCACTTTGGGCCAGGGCACGGTGGAAGAACAAATTCTCAAGCGTCTCATCAGACTGACCACGGAGACAATCCGGAGGGACATTCAATCCGAAAGAAACAAGACGGTGAGCAGTGAAAAAAACACCGTGGGCAACTTTCCAACAGAGATCAATGGGTTTCCTGTCGAGAGGCATGTAAAACAAAGTCTTCCAGGTAGAATCCCAGTCTAAGACACCATAATTTGAGTTAAACTTCACCACACAGTAAGGTTGCGCAGGATTCAAAGACAAGAAAAGCTGATAGCAGGATTTGCAGGTCAAGGAGTCGGCCCTGANCAGTACAGCCAACAAAGGCGACCGAGGGAGACACACTCGAACAACACTAAGAAAGACAGAAATGAAAAGACTCACCAACGACCTTACAGATACGGCCATTGCCTCCCCGTTGTCGTGGCAAAAATCCGCGCCCCCTCCGAGACCGAAAACGTTTAATAATTAAGCAGAGGTAAATAGAAGGACAGGCGACCCTTGATGCTATCGATAAGACCCTGTACGGCACTTGGAGGTTTGGACCGAAAACGATAGTCATTACTTTGACACCAGACAAAAAACTTAAGTAAGGACAGAAGATAACAGAACACACGAGGGACACACAACAGCTCATCACTAATGAAACCGAAAAGAACATGACGCACGGTAATAGCTGGTGCCAGAGGAGAGGACAGAAAGAATAGTGACTGAATCCAATCCAGACCACTTTGGGCCAGGGCACGGTGGAAGAACAAATTCTCGAGCGTCTCATCAGACTGACCACGGAGACAATCCGGAGGGACAGTCAATCCGAAAGAAACAAGACGGTGAGCAGTGAAAAAAACACCGTGGGCAACTTTCCAACAGAGATCAATGGGTTTCCTGTCGAGAGGCATGTAAAACAAAGTCTTCCAGGTAGAATCCCAGTCTAAGACACCATAATTTGAGTTAAACTTCACCACACAGTAGGGTTGCGCAGGATTCAAAGACAAGAAAAGCTGATAGCAGGATTTGCAGGTCAAGGAGTCGGCCCTGAGTAACGTGGTTTCAGCAGAACCAACAATCAGGCCAGCCTGAGACAAGGAGCCGTGAAGGGCAGTCCAAGCACGCAAGAGCGCGTGATAGAAAGCTGGAAGGTCCGAAGCTTCCAAGAGGAAAAGAGATGGGGTAGCAAGCACAGTTTGGGGGTCAACCCCTAAACAGTCAAAAAGCCAAAAGGTCATCATGTGGGCCCACGCATTCGGGGCAGTAGCATAACGACGGACCCACTGAGCCAAAAGTGCATGAACCTTGTAACGGACGGACACAACGCCAAAACCTCCTTGACGAGTAGAATGGTGAACTACATCTCTGGTAACCAAGTCACGTTTGTTGCTCCAAAAGAAAGAAAAGACAAGAGTGTTGAGCTCGGATGCAACCAAATCAGGCATAGAAATAAGGGAGGCTATGTACCACACTCTAGAGAGAGCCAGAGCATTGACAATTAGCGCTTTTCCAGAGTACGATAGAGATCGGCTATGCCAAGAATTTAGACATTTCTCGACGGCTTTAATTCGAGGCCGTCAGTTATTCCTCCTGCAGGTTACTATTACCAAGATAAACACCAAAAAGCTTTATAAAGGCAGTGGTCCATTTGATAGGAACGGGTGCATCTTAACGGCCACTCCAGGAACCCAACCAAACTCCCTCGCATTTGCCAAGATTAAGCTTGGCACTAGTGCCTTGTTGGAAACGGCCATAAACCGAGAAGATCGCTCTAGTGGCGCGATCAGAGCACGAAACGGCGGACGTGTCATCAGCATACAAGGACAGTACAGTAAGGGGAGAAGAAAGACCAGGGAGGCGCAGAGCAGTAATATCAGGATGACAGCGGACGTTCGCAGTCAGCACTTCCATGGAGAGAACATACAGAAGTAAGGACAAAGGACAGCCTTGACGCACCCCACGGAAAGGCTTGAAAGGACGAGAGGTGTAATCATTGACAAGGACGGAGCTGCGAACATCCGTGTAAAGAAGCCTGACCCACCGGATAAAGCTGTCACCAAAGCCCATTTTAGCTAGGGTGGTGAAAAGGAAAGGCCAGTCAACACGGTCGAAAGCCTTCTCCTGATCCAGAGAAAGGAGAGCTACTGGCAGGTTATACTCATTTGCCAGTTCAAGTACATCGCGTAAAAAGGCGATGTTCTCGCCGATATAGCAACCAGGCACACCACAAGTCTGACCAGGAGCGACAACCGTAGCAATAACTTTCAAAAGACGGCCAGCCAGAACACGAGCACAGAGCTTGTAATCATCATTAAGAAGACTAATAGGTCGCCAGTTCTTATGGTCTAGGCGACCTCCTTTCTTGAAAATCAAGGCAATGAGCGCCTCACTCTGAGAGAAAGGCGGGAGACCATCCTCCAGAGAGGCATTGAAAACATTAACAAGATCCCCACCAAGCAAATCCCAGAAAGCAACACGAAATTCCAATGGCAAACCATCAGAGCCTGGAGACTTGCCCTTAGCCATGCCAAGGAGAGCAGCATGAGCCTCATTAGGCGAGATTGGACCGTCACAAGAAGCGGCATCATCAACAGAAAGAGAGGCACTGAGACAGTCAAGAAGATCTGACTGGACCCCAAGATCGACAGGGCAGGCCGTAAAAAGGTCTTGATAAAAAGAAGCGCAGGACTCGTAAATACCCTCAACATCCGTGACAACCACCCCATTGGAAACACGCATTGCGGAAACCCAACTTTCAGTTCCTCGCTTCTTTTCTAGCCTTAACAAGAAGCGACAGAGGTTTCACACTCCTCAGCCCACTTGACACGGGAGCGAACCCGCGCTCCCTCAGATACAACCCTATCATTAATTCTGCCCTTCAGCTGACAAGCAAGGGCAGAAAGGACAGAGCGCGACAGAGAACGTTCATTATGAGCACCACTACAATGGTGGACCGCAAGACCTTTGATATGTTCCTTGCCTCGGTCCCACCAATCCTGAAGAGATGAAAATGACGGCTTACGCGACCTCTGTCTAGGCCAGAAGTCACTAACAGTTTGTAGAAAGACAGGATCCCAGTTTCCATCTGCCAGGGCCACGAGGAAAAGATTCAGGGATAGAGAAGCCGAGAAAAACGGCATTGTCATCAGAGAAAGGACGTGGAACAATAGAACAGGAAGACACAAAATGAAACCAATAGACGGGAAGCCAATAAGGTCGATGTGGGAGGACAAGGAACCATCGTGTTTCAGCCAGGTGTAAGAGCGAAGATCGGGATGGAGATGGCGCCAAACATCCAAAACACAGAATTCCCGGAAACGTAGCTCCAGTGAGACAAGGCTCTCACGTAAGAGCCCCGACGATCTCTGGCTCTGTCAAAAACAGCATTAAAGTCACCACCTAGTATCGTGGGAACAGATGGATCAGTAAAGTGCAGATATGAGGTAAACAATTTGTCGTGCTCAGGGTTCCGGTTAGGTGCATAGAGTTGACAAAAGAAAAGCTGGGGCGGTACAGAAGGACCCTGCCACGAGAGTGACCAGTATCAGGGACCGTAACAGTGAGAAAACCAGAAGAGGAGAACCATGAAGAGGCCTCAGCAGCATCAGTAACATGAGTCATTTGGACACACACGATATCACATGACAAATGGCCTAGCCACTACAATAAACCAGCCCGCTTAATGGGATCACTGATCCCATTATCATTGGGTGTTAAAAAATTGAATGCAACTGTTGGGAGGGGGGGGGGGGGAGAACAAGGGATCAAGCCCCGCAAGGGAAGCACCCCGGGGAAAACCACCCCCTTTTGTTTTGCTGGAAACAACTGGCGCCAAAACGGCTTTCCTAAACAGGGGTTGGAGAACGGGGGACTGCCGAACACTAGCAGCCCCCACGAAACTTTTGCCTTTACCCAAAAGAGCTCCGCAAGGGAAGCACTCCGGCGAAGACCACACCCTTTTGGTTTGCTAGCAACAACTTGCGTCAAAACGTGCTTGCTAGACAGAGGCTTGAGAAGCGGGGACTGACGAACACTAGCAGTCCCACGCGAACTTTTGGCTTTAGCGCAAAGGCTACGCTCCTCATAGCGAGGCTCATTTTGACGAGAAGGAGGGGAAGTGAAGGAGGAGAGGACGTATCCTTGGGGGGCTGTCGCTCTCATCCATAGCATCAGCAGAGTCGGAGGGAGGATCGGAGAAGATAGAGATGAGTGATAAAGAGGAAGAAGAGTCCTCAAAAGACTCTATTCCATCAGAACTGAGGTCAACCTGACCCTCATCGATGACCTCAATTAAAGCCCGTCCACTAGTTTCCGCATCAGCACCAGCCATTACATCAACATACTCCATCTCAGCAACATTTTCAACAACAGCAATATTAGGGTTGATAGCATTAACCTCATTCAATCCTCCACTACTTTCATTACTTTCATTAACAGTACTATCATTGACTTCATTTGATCTTTCAGTACTACTACTATTATTACTTCATTTACTCTTTCAGTACTATTTGCACTACTGTTATTAATAACTTCATTTGATCTTTCATTATTATTTTGCACTAGTATTATCATTAATAACGTTTAATCGCTCATTACTAATATTACGTACTGCAGTACTTTCATTATTTCCTTTACTAGTAATTCCACACAATTCAGCAGAATTGGCAAGAAGAGAGTTAAACTCTTGCCTATGGGTAAAACAAATATTGAAAGTAGGGGTTGGAGCAGAATTACTCCTTTTGGCAGATGAGCCTTGTTTTCCACGACTCTTTTAGAAGCCCTTTGGTTGGACTCTGCCTCAGAAGAATCACCGCTGACAGGGACTAAGTCCTGCAGAATCGACTGACTCTGCAGTAGATTGAGCTCGTTATCGTGAAGAAACTGAGAGTCAGAAGAATCACGAGAGACACTGGCCTCCGCAGACTACGAATATGAGGCCAGGGGAGGAAAATCCGCAGAGTCTCCCGCTGGCCCGTGAAAGGTACAATTCCGAGCCAAGTGTCCGGTTTTCCCACAATTTCTGCACTTGTCCTTGTTAAGGCAGTTTGCCGACCTGTGGCCCTGAACGGCACAAAGATTTGCAAACAAGGGGTTGACCACGATACCACAAACGACACAAATACCCGTCCACCATCCGATATCGGGGTAATACCCCAGATAAGGCAACATCGACAAGCCTGGTACCATTAAAGATGATTTGATTGGAAAGAAAAGTCTGCTTTTTGACAGACTTGACTGCACCATGGGCCTCGAAAGCAACCTCGAAGGATCTGTTATCCTCCTCGAAAGAAAAATCGAAAACGTGCATAGGGAGGCTACCCCCCAAAATAGAGCACCATAAAACGAAAAGATGCCGTTTTCCGAAAACGATTTGGCCGCCCGAAAGTGCTCCGGAGAGGCGAAGGTGACACGAACGACCTCGTACGCAACCTGGACAGCCTTGACGTCATGACGGGCAAAAGCACGAAGAACTTCGGTCATGATCTCGTCTTTGGTTTTGTCAGCCAGCTTGCCGCTGACCTGCAAACTAATAGTTTTTGGTAGGCGCATGATAACAACAGCGAAGAAGCAAAAAAGCAAAAAGCGAAAAAGCTAAGAAGGAGAAAACGAAAAAGCGAAAAGGTAAAAAAGGGCAAAGTGCAAAAAGCAGATTAGAGTCGAAAGACGCTAATCCACCAGCAAAAATGAAAATATAACAATTGGTGAGGTAAAGACACCAATTGTATGAAAAAGGACAATTAGTGTCGGAAACACTAATTGAAAATACAAAAATAGAAAATTAGAGTCGAAAGACGCTAATCGACACAACAAAAGGAAAATATAACAATTGGTGGCAGAGAGACACCAATTGTAAGAAGGAGGAAAATTAGTGTCGGAACAAAAAAAAGAAAAAAGAAAAGGAACAATTAGTGGCCGTAAAACCCTAATTATGAGAAAAAGAGGCAATTAGCGTAAAAACGCTAATTGCAGGAAAACCAAGTGATTGGCATCCAGATAACGCCAAATACTCACAAAACAAAGCAAAAACTATTACAATAAACTAGAAAAAGTAAGTAAAAGAGACAAGAAAAAGGAAAAAAAGCTAACCAAAACGTTAAGCCCAAATGAAGGCGTAGCAAAACGGATAAGAGGTGAAGACCACTTACCAAGCGTGTTCAAGTTGATTAGACCACCAAGTAAGAGAAGTACTCCAAAACCACGAACAAATAGGAGCCGTGGTCCACAAGGAAACACACTCGCCTCGAAAGTCGCAGCAATACACAAGGACGGGAATCTAGTCCCAAACAGGTAGAATTCCGCGACGCGAGCCTGGGGAATAACCGTGTGTAAAAGACACTTTCCTGCCGAGGCGAGTCCTTTAAGTGCCAGCTCCACACAACACATGTGGGAGATGTTGGCTGAGAACCGCAGGGCAGTTCTCCCACGACATGCGGGAAGGCGGATCAAGGGGATCATGGCGGATCATGCGTTTGGTGTATGTGTGTCCCTCGCTTTAATTTGT